TGGAGAACGGAAAGGGTTGGTGGGATCGAAGAGTGCGCTCGTCATCGAGAAGCCCACTAGGCTGGTTTGGGCTGACAGTTGTATATACTCCATCTGGCTCGCCGCTCTGCAACCAATTGCGCGGCCTGGTCCGTCTACACTCTTACCCTCATGTACTCTGTGTGCATGGCGGTACTACATGTACCTTTGAGACAGCAGCGTTGGATGATCCAATGGAACATGCACAGAACGCGTGTTTGTTCTGGGGCCATTGATTGTGATGCAGGTGTCTAGTATTGATAGTAGTCATACATATATAGAGTAGTAGCAGGTACTTGGTAGGACTTGCACAGTACCTATACCGTATAGAGTAGTCTACCTACCCGGTGCATGCACCCTATAGACAGATAGAGACAGACAAGACAAGACAGACTCCTGCTTCCACAATGCCAGCATCATCATCCTCATCATCATCACTAGATGATTGCCGACGCCAGTCTATCATGCAAGTTCTTCCCCAAGATCGCGGACCGCCAGCTTAGTACTACGCACAGGCAATGTTTGGGTATGGAGATTGCCAAAAGCGAACTGGACTGGACTTGCAAGCGTCATGGAAGTCTGATCAAAGTACCCGTCGGCCAATGAAGCCGCCGACCACGGCCCTCGACTTGTCACCGCGGGTCTTCCATGTGCAACCTTTGCGCCAAGGAGAATGGAGGGGAGGGCGCGCTTTGCTCAGGCATGCCTATTTGCGTCTGCCGAAGACCCTGAACGTTCGTCACGTGCCCTTTCTAGAGTAGGCCTTCACATCCGGTGCGGCTATGGCGCTTCAATGTCCGTCCAGTCCCACATCCACTGTCAAAGTGGGTAGCCACACCACAGACTACAGTCACGACATGACCGAGCACGCATGCCTCGTCGACCTGATCGTAGTAGAGAGACTTCGAGATCCACCATCATGTTTCTTACATGGTTTGATCTGTACCTAGGTGGTAGACTTCTGTGTACGCATGTGTGTGCATGATCAGTAGACTAGTTCGCCAAAAACTGCCCAAAGCAGCACTAGACCCTTTGAGACGTCCTTTCTTGATTATCGGTGTACCATGGAACGTTTGTTGTCCTCTACTGCACCCAACTTTCATAGTACGCCACTTTCTTCCTTCGCTCGGGCCGGACACGAGACTTTATCGTACACGGCGTAGTGCTCCTCAAACGCCACATCCTTCCAGAACATCAGCTCATGATCAACACTCATCATGACATGGACACCCGCACGCTATTCGACAGACCCTGATCGGCCTCGGACTCCGATTCAGACTCGCTGCTATCAGCCTCTTCTTCCTCTTCCTCCTCTAGCACAATCTGTTCAAGCACCCGCTTGTCAAACAGATCTAGAACAAACCGACAGGCTGGAAGCCGGAAATGATGTGCTTCCAGTATCTGCATAACCTTGTGGAAGATCGAAGGTCTGCTAAACGCAGCCACCTTTCTGGACTTGATACTGTTGCGAAAACGTCAGATTCCTAGCACGATGCTGCCAAACAAAATCAATCCGTACTCACACTTGTAAGTCGTTCGCCGCCTTCTTGGCAAGCACTGTATTGCCCAGGTCTGTAGCAAGCTTCAATATGCGTGCATTCACCGGGTCGCTATCAGTAATGGCCACCTTGATCTCGCCTTTGGGATTCCACCTGAGTTCACTGGACTTGGCAACCCAGGGTCTCATCTTTCGTCTATTAGCAGATCACGGTCCAGTCGCGGGAAATGGGACTTACGGCAAACAACTTGTTAAAGTCCAACGGAAGACAAAATCCGAGTGCTTCACCAGCCTCGTTGACCACTCCGTCCCATCCGTACTCTAGAAGTATCTCTTGACCGTGAAGACTTTTTGAAATCAGACCCAGCACATAAAAGGCTGTCCCTCTGAGTGACATGACTTCGGATTGCTCCGCAATCTGCACAATCCATTTGACTACATCGGAGCTTTCGAGGAAGGGCGCACCCAGTTCCATGGAACCCACGTTTCCTACCGCCCATAAGCAGCCTTTGACCTTGACTATGATTTCTGGATCATCATTCTCCATGGCAAAGTCACGGATGTTGGCAGCAAACTCGTCAAAGTGTCCCTTCTGTTTGAGCAGCTTGCAACCTTCTTTTGTCCTGGTCAATTCTCGATAGAAATGAGGAGGAACAAGACCATAGTCCGTTACCTCGGGTGTATCGTCGTAATTCAAATGAGCCGAAGGCTTTTCTGGAATGTCGGCCAATGCACGTGCCATAGAGGCCTCGATCAAGGCAACGTAAGTATCGTTTCGCCCGAGGAACCAGTCATCCATTTCCCTCGTGATGTAGTCCAGGCCGTCAAGATAATGATATCCTACTGATGTCGATAGGAAACGGAGGAGCAGGGGAGCGCCAATTTCACCCAAATGATCCAAGGCAGGACGGCATTTGACCACAAACTCTAGGGACTCCGTCTGGTTACAAGCCTCTTCCAGAATCTTGATTGCAACCTCGCATACTTCCACATCCGGGTCATACAGTTGTGTAACAAGTAGCCTGATAGCCCATTCTGCAACACCGACAGAGCTGTTCTGTTGCATTGGCTTCGTCGCGTACTTGCGTAGTAATCTCGTCGCGAAAATACGTATCTCTTTGGAACAAGACGTCATGGCCTTGGATATAATGATGCGTATATGTCCATCCAAGGTGTAATCCATATTGCTAAGCAGAGTCCGGATCAAGTCATCGCGGTCATTGAGTTCGACAATGTGGTAAAACATGTTGATAACTCTCCATCTTTCCAATATTTGAATACCGCGAGAGTCCTTCGTCAATGCACCTAACAGGGCAAAGTAACCACCAGTAAGTGTTTCGTTCATCCGGTCCGCTTGAAAAATGGGCGATTCAGAAGTTAAGCCACTCATTCTGTCGAAGTGAGACAAACATTCGGCAAGCTGGCGGATAAACTTGCTCTCGCCGAGATACTTGACGCCCTCGGAGTTTTGTAAGAGACTGTGTATCAAAGCACAACCTGCACGAACGTATCTCTGATTGGGCTTCGTATTTTTCACCTCAGAAAATCGATACTTGAACGGCCGATAGAAACCCAGCAATCGATGTACAAACTTTGTGACTTTGATAGCTTCATCCAAGCGTTTGGGGTTGAGTAAAGGACCTTCAATAATCGTCAAGATCAGATCCCATCTCCACTTCTGGAACGACACCGTGTTCAAGACCTGAGTATCAAGCATCAGAGTCCTGAATTGACCTTCATCTATTTGCATTGCAGCTTGGACTTTGGATTGATCGGTTTGTCGAGAATTTGAGGTTGGATCAGCGGCCATGGTACCCTTAGTGGTATATAAAGATGTGGGGCCGGACCGGTATAGAGTCCTGTTGATACTGTCCACTTGATATATGGTACCAATAGCAACAAATCGGTCCTCTGACTGAAAACATGCCGCAGAATGTAAAAGCTGCGGTAGAACCTGAAGCTGTGCGCTCCAGGATGGTGGTAGTAGTTCGTTTGCCATCTTTAGCACTTCGCCGAGTAAGAGGGTCGTTTTGCGTTTCAAAGGCAAAGTCAACGGCTCTTCCTCAGCAAGCAGTAATGCGGGCACTAGTCCAGCGTGAAGAAAAGCCGCCAATACCACCGCGACGTAGTGGTCGAGCAAACTCCATTTATTTGTGTCGTCTTCAGGTCTGCTAGTGGCTTGGTCTTTAACCTGTAGATTCTTCAGATTTGTCACCCGTCCATAAGTGGTCAGACGACGCCCAGCTAGAAAGGAGGAAGACCATGACGGAGGTTTGATACGGAGAAGATCGAACAGTAGCTCCAGAATAATGTTCCTAACGTGAGGGGTTGTGATTTGTAGAGAAAGTAGTAAGGAGCGAAGAGGGAGGAAATCGTTCATACACAAAGTCATCAAGCCAGGCCAGCTCCGAAGTAGAGACGCAATCACCTTGGCATTTACTTTGAGCTTCTCCTCATGCAAATGCCCATGAACAGAACTTGCATCTGTAAACATGGCAAAAGGCGCCTCCAGCTCGCGCCCAGAACGCAGGTAGCTTCGTCGCCGCGGAGTATCCAGAAGGTAGAGGAAGGCTACACCAATGCTTTCAGCAGCGTGGTAACTTCCTTCGCCTAAAGCATCAGCCAAAGCACCCATTCCACCAGCCGAAACAAGAAGAGCCGGTTTACGGACAAGGATTTCGGCAAGCGTGAGAGTGGCAATGTTCCTAAGTCGGTCTTCGGCATGCTCTGCAACAGCCACAATAATGCGAACAACAGCGCGAGAGATCTCTTCCACGCCTCCCTTGACATCTAGGAAGGCTCGAACAAATTTGAGGGCTTGCTCTCGCTCCACACTGGCCTTGCTCTCTTTTACAAGCGACAGAATGACCAGGTAATCTGTGTGCAAGCCTCTGATGATTCGGAGAGACTTGCGATCGGTGAAGGCATACCGCATGACCCTATACGCGGCTGCGACAACTTCACGGCTATCGCTGAGTAGCATCGTCTGCATTCTGAGACCAAAAATGGACCACGCCAAGTCGTACTTGAGCGTTGGATGTCGCTTGAAGAGGAGGACTAGAGAATTCGCTCTTTCCACATAGTATTCTGGTTGCATTCCCTGGACTTCGAGTGCCTGTAATATCTCTGCCAGAACGAAAGTCGGCGACTCTGTTTCATCATCCCCCTCTTCCTCTTGTTGGACCACATGCCGTGATGGTGACCGTGATAGATTTCTCCGAAACAAATAGGAGAGCCGGCTCTGAGGGTCTGCTGGTGGCGATTTGACCTCTTTTGCTCTTTGTATTTCCGCGGCTAGCCCTGACTTGAGGCGCGCAAGCTTTCTATTGGAGATGTTGAGCTGCTCCTCCACCTGCAGCCTCTGATCCTTTGTGTTTTTCGCATTCTTCGCATTCAATGCTTCCAGCAGATTTTCCGACCCAATCTTGATCTTCGTCTCTTTCTCAATTGCGTCCTGTAGCTCTGCCTGTCGCTGCTCGCTGGTCAAGGCATCATTCTCCGCAATCGTGATGGCGTGCATGTCGAAGTCTGGGCGCAGTCTGCCATCTTGCGACGTCGTCGGTCTAACCAGCTGCGAGCTGAAGCTGCCTGGTCCCGTGTTGGCTGTGGCATACGAGGACACGCCCCCTCGCGAGGCGGCCATGGCGCTGGCCGCCGACAGTGAACGGCCATCTCTAGTTTGCGAGGGCGCGAGGTGAGAGGGCGCGTCGGCCTGCGTGTTCACGGAGCGGGCGGGTACAGGCGTCATGAGCGTGCCTTAACCGTGGCCTCGCTACCCGCATCGCATTTCCCTATCCTGCCAGAGCCTGTCTATGCTTCATAAAGCTGCCACAGATAAGAGTCGAGTGAAGTCTCCAGGCTATCCTCGACACGCGGGTTAACTACGGAGCGGGGTTCTGGCGGTGACGTGTGGGGAAAGAGCGACGACCATGTGGCTCTGCAAGCAACGACAGAGTTGGAGCCTCGAGGCTCTGGTATTGTGAGGGTATTGCAGGTAGGGCAGAGAGCGTTTGGGACCTTGGCTGCAGCGGAATGACTGTGGGACAAGTCGAATTGGGGGTGAATTCGTAACAGAGCGGATTGCTCACCACGTGCTTGGCTTCCTTGCAGTACAATACAGTACAGTGTAGAGTAGACAGAATGTGGTCGGGCTGCGGTCTTACGACAGATCGCGTCTGTGCGTTTGCAGCAGCCGCATGCCTTTGTCGGCGGCCTTCTCTTCAGCCCATGAGCCAGAGCCATCTCATAGCACAGCTGCACAGCATGCACGATCCAACAAACAACGGGGCTACTCTGCGGCCATTCCAGACCTTCCAGCATTGCAGATGCCAGAATCCACCCTCATGGCCTGATATCACGCAGAATATCATGCAGAACCGCCACATCGAGGCTCCAAGCCCTCCAAGCTTTGCCGTCGTCGCTGGGCCCCGCGCCTTTGCAACTGGTCACGTGTTCGTCGGAGCACGCCGACGGCCATCTCAACCAATCTGAAGCCGATGTGGCCGCGTCGTCAAGAGCTCCTTGCTGCCCGCCTGTCAAACGCAAGCTTCTCGTAGTTCGTAGTTCGGCCGCCTCCGTATACTAGGCCTCAGATAAGGGCTATAAACAGAGTATATCTCTACTGAGGCATTCGCACGGATACTTAGGTCACACATTTTCAGAGTTCCTTATATAGGCCTTGCCCAGCTCATAGCTTTGACATCATAGAGCACCTCTCACCAACATCCCCTAATTAGCTTCCAATCACACGCGTTAGGCACATCATGTCTCAACTTAGCTACGCCCGCTACGGCAAGGACAATGTCCGCCTGTACAAGGTCGACAAGGATCACAAGACTGGCATTCACACTGTTGTGGAGCAAACAGTTCGTGTTCTGCTTGAGGGAGACATAGAGACCTCGTGAGTTTAGTATCGGTGCCGCTGCAACCCCCAAAGTACTGACACTGGACAGCTACACGCAAGCAGATAATTCGGTCATTGTTGCCACAGACACACAAAAACAGACCACGTACATCCTCGCTAAGCAGCATCCCATCGACCCCCCAGAGCAGTTTGCCGCTGTCATTGGCGACCACTTCATCAAGACCTATCCACACATCCACGCCGCGCATGTCAAGATCATCCAACACCGATGGACCCGCATGACCATTGACGGCAAGCCACATCCTCACTCTTTCTTCCGCGATGGCGACGAGACACGCGTTATCGAATCAGTCACACGGGAGGGCGAGGGTTTCTCCATTCGATCCAAAATCGAAAAGCTGCTTGTACTCAAGAGCACTGGGTCAGCATTCCACGGCTTCCATCGCGATGAGTTCACCAAGCTGCCTGAGACCTGGGACCGCATTCTCAGCACTGAGATTGAGGCTGGTTGGCAATGGAAGTTGTTCAAGACCCTTGCGGAGGTCAGGGAGGTAGACTTTAATGCTGCCTGGAAAGCTGCACGGGATATCACATTAAAGGTGTTCGCCGAGGACGATAGTGCCAGTGTACAAGCCACCATGTACAAGATGTGCGACAAGATCCTCGCTGCTGTTCCTCTAGTCGAGGCTGTCGACTATTCTCTTCCCAACAAGCACTACTTTGAGATTGGTAAGTTTACGCATATGTGCATCCCAAATCGAGTTTCCTGCTAATATTTGCAGACCTTTCATGGCACAAGGGCATCCAAAACCTAGGCAAGGACGCTACCGTCTTGGCTCCTCAGTCTGATCCCAACGGCCTCATCCAGTGCACTGTTACGCGCAAGGGCAACAAGTCCAAGCTGTAAATGGACATATTTGTAATTTGCTCGTTTCAATTTAGCGACTTGATGGCACATTGCTTCTTCGTTGTATAAAATTTAGCGTGCAACAACAATACCAGGGGTTCAAGTGTATATGGAGAGCAGAATTATATACCATTTCTTTAGTGATTTAAGGGGGTTGAGTAAATTACTCATCGTCTTACGAGTAGGCATTAAATTGAATTTAACACCGGTGAGAAATGGCTTGTAATTATCTCGAGCCTTTGATATGCCCAGTCCACTGAGTGTCAAATACGCAGGGGGCTAGTTTTTGACATGTGCAGTTGATATATGCGAAGCTGATATCCCTCTACTGTCCACATAGCAAAATATCTTACACCCAAAGAAGAACTTTACGTCCATAAGATGTACAGCTTTCCTATACTTTGAATCACCACTCCATCCTACGCCTCGTAACGGCCGCGTCATGATATAGGCGCCGCTGCTTGCTGTGCCTCCTTCTGTCCCGACAGAGTTTTCTTAACCGCCTCATGTTCAACAATACTCTGCCCACCGCCATTCTCCACTTTCAGAATATTCTCCCCATACGGATGCGCCCTGCCCTCGAACACCTTCAACCGTGCCAACCTGTCCTGCCTCAACCTATTCTTCGGCAACATGCCACTGACCGCCTTCCGCAGCACCTCCCCGCCTCCCCATTTGGCAATCATACGGTCCATGCTGAGCTCCTTTAATGAACCCGGTCGAGTGGTGTGTGTGCGGTAGAGTTTTTGGAAGCGTTTCTTGCCAGTGGTGTGCAGGTTGGCGCAGTCAATAGCCACGACGTAGTCGCCGCAGTCTGTCGAGGGGTCAAAGATGGGCTTGTGCTTGCCCATGAGGACGAGGGCGATGGAGGTGGCGACGCGGCCGAGAGCGCGGGGGTCAGACCCGATGTCTACGAGGTGCCATGATCGTGCATAGGCCAGGCGCGTCTGTATAATTATAATCAGTTCCATTGCTATCATTACAAGAATACATCTCCTGCATTTAGGATCCTTATCCCGAGACATGAAGATGCGGAGGTCCGGTGGATGCATACCTTCCCAATGACTTGTGACATGATGCTATAGGGGGCCAATGGCCCAGTTATTCAGATCCTAGGAGTCCTCAAGGTCTGGGTGACCTTAGGCAAAATGATCCCACGACGAATAAATAGACGCGGCAGGCAATTGTTGTTCGCTACCTAATGGCTCGTCGTGCGGTTGACGTTCCAAGCGCCAAGGCCGTTAAACAAATTCCGCCTACCAGCACTCTAGATCACGTGCCACATCTACACAAGTCGATCGGGTTGACGTCTGCGACGGGCCGACAAGTGGATTTCCAAGCGACTGATTATGAGTAGGCCCATGACATACTCGTATCGTGACATATATCACGCCAACACAAGTACACATACGTTACCGAATCACACAGATTTCAAGATGACGGTTCCTGTTTTCGAGACAATCTTCGCGGTGCCCATGACGTGCGAGTCTTGTGTCAAAGACATTGAAGGTTCGCTCAGCCAGCTGAGTGGTACGAGCAGTGTTGCATGCACGTCATTCGGCTCCTAACAGTATGCAGGTATTACCAAAGTCACAGCCAACCTCCAAGACCAATTGGTGTCAATTGAAGGCACAGCTCCTCCATCCGCTATTGTAGATGCTATCCAAGCTACTGGCCGTGATGCCATATTGCGTGGATCAGGCAAATCAAACAGTAAGTCATAGAGGAGCCAGGCACATACCTCCCAATTTAGTTATTGATCTTGGTTCAAGGCGCTGCTGTGTGCATTCTGGAGTCACATGCTAGCCATGTCGAAAACAAAGTTCGAGGATTGGTACGCATGGTTGAAGTGGCCCCAAGTATGACCATTGTAGATCTCAGTATCAGGGGACTATCACCCGGAACCTACCATGCCACAGTTCGGGAATCTGGAGACATATCACAAGGACCTGAGTCAACTGGCAGCATTTGGGAGGCTGCACAAGCAAGGAAAGAAGGAAAGCCGTGTCGAGGCATCTTTGGTACGGTAGAGGTAGGCAAGGGTGGAGTCGGTGCCGTCTTTTGGGACAAGCCCATCCACATCTGGGAGATGATCGGCCGGAGCATAGTGGTTGCGAGACAGCGGGATGGAAAGGTATGCAGGTACTTACTCTGCAAGGCAGATCAAGACTAACCTGTTGTAGTTTGACAAGAACGATCCAGATACGCTGGTGGGTGTCATTGCTCGTAGTGCAGGCGTTTGGGATAGTAAGTGCCTTTTCCACGTTGTGCTCTTCCAGCATTTGGGATGACTTCGCTTGAATAACACTGACGAATGACATGTGCAGACGACAAGACGGTGTGCTCGTGTTCTGGAAAGACAGTCTGGCAGGAGAGGGAGGAACAACGTGATCGTGGCATGCTGTGAGGATGCCAAATGCAAGTTGTACATACCAAGCCGCAGTGTGAGGCTCTCCAAGTGCCATTGACATGGCGTATCTGGTAGCGAAGTGTCCACCAGGCACCTTGTAATCTAAGGCCGAAACTAAGAATGCACGAACACGGACTTGCAGAGCTATGCGTTCATGCCTCAGAGATCTAAGGCGACACAAGGCAAGTGGATGAGTGGCTGGAGAGTGTTTGGCATCACGTGGGTGTCTCACTCCCATGTAACAGACCTCAAACGCCATCATCCATCGCCCATCGATTGCAAGGGGGCGGGCCTCGGATGCTCGCCACCATGATGGCCACGATGCTGCGCTGTCCACGCCGTATTCAGTGGAGATCTGGATGCAATGCGAAGCGCTCGGCCTGAAAAAGGCACTGTAGTCTTCTGCGAGTCTTGAATGGCGGCGGCGGCGTCATGCGGAAGCAGACGGGGGTTGGGGGGGTGGTTGTAGTGTCTTGGAAAGGCCAGAAGCGCTGTGGACATTGAGCTTTCACCATGCAGGGGGCCAATCACGGCACGGAATCGCGGTGCCAGCCAAGGCTTGTCCTCAGACGCGCTGGACCTCAGAATTGGTCTCCCCACCTATGCCTGTGCCCTGCTGGCTGCAGCCGCCCGCCAAATGCCCACTGTGTCCCAGGTTTCTTCCGAGAACTTCCCTCGAAACTTCTTCCTCCCTCGTTCCCATATTCCAACTTGTGCCTTGTACCTACTTGCACGCCGTACGATCGTTAAACCCCCATCCCGCCATCCCCGCAGCGCCCCAACACCACCAGACCACCAGACTAGCAAAATATACAGCCGTCTGTAATAGTGGATGTGCACCACTAATCACATACTAATACCCGAAATCACGCCTCCGCGATAGCCCCGGCGGCTACTCTGTAATTGGAAAAGAATCAAAAGAGGCGGACTTGTCTGGTTGCGCTTAAGACGGATCCTCGCCCCTCCTTCATCGTGGAGCGGCAGTAGTTGGAGATCTATTCGACCGAGGCTTGACGACACCATACTGCCGGGTAACAGTGAACATCACTCGTCATGTCTCTGAAGCAGGTGCGCGCCCCTCTCCTTGCCTCTCCATCATTGCCCTCCGACTGCAGTAGCTAATTGTGGGGGTAGGAAATCGAGACCTGGGTGGCAGCCCTTGCAAGCTACGACAACAACGAGTTCGAGGAGGCATTGAAGGTTTTTGATCAGATCTCCGACACATCCAAGATTCTCTTTAATTGTGGTGTAATCCATGCGACCCTCGGTGAACATGAGAAAGCGGTACGTCGGACAGATACACCCAGGTATCAAGAGAGGCTGGATTCTGATCACCTACCAGGTCGAATGTTACCAGCGCGCTGTGCGTCTGGATCAGTACCTCGCCGTGGCCTACTTCCAACAGGGTGTGTCGAACTTCCTCATGGGCGATTTCGAGGAAGCGCTTGCCAACTTCAACGACACTCTCCTATATCTGCGCGGAAACAACAATATCGATTATGAACAATTGGGCCTTAAGTTCAAGCTTTATTCCTGTGAGGTCCTGTTTAACCGCGGTCTCTGCTACATCTACCTGCAGCAGAAGGAGGCGGGTTTGCAGGATCTTTCATTCGCTGCGAAAGAGAAGGTGGTACCTGACCATGATGTTATCGACGAAGCTATCAACGAGCAAGCGGAGGTATGCCTGTGACACGCCTGCGAGTGAATAAGGATTGACAATTATAGGGCTACACTGTTTTCTCCATTCCTGTCGGCATTGTATACCGCCCCAACGAAGCCAAAGTGAAAAACCTGAAGACCAAGGATTACCTTGGAAAAGCACGTCTCGTCGCTGCATCAGATCGATCCAATGCGTTCACTGGCTTCGCCGGATCAGAGGTCAAGAAAGTCACCCAGGCAGCCAAGGACGACAGACCTGATGATAAGCTTTCGTACGCTGCGACCAATCTTGTCAAGCCAGAGCTTCAGAGCAGAGCGCGCCAGCAGTCGGAACCCCCGCTGAACCGCAACGTGTTCCCACCCACACCTCCCCCGGAGGCGGATCGTAGATCTGCAGGCAAATCGGACGCTCCAATGTCTCGTGCACAGTCTGTACGAGGTGGTGGACCCAAGCCACAGCCCCTCAATCTGGGAAGAGCTGCATTTGATCAACAACAAGAAAAGGAGCCTGCTCCTCGCCGTCTCCAACGCTCTGCATCAGAACGACCTTCAGAGAGGTCTGTTGACCGAGCACCGCCAAGTCGTTCTGAATCCACACGGACCCGTCAGCGCGATTACAGGTCGCGCCGCCGCGGTTCGGACGATGATATTATTGACGAGTATTATGAAGATGATGGTTACGAAAAGCCGGCCCGATCTAGCCGTGGTGCATATGGCCGTACAAAATCAGTTCGAAGACCTGCATACATCGAAGAAGAAGATGAAGACGACTATGATGGTAGTGATCTTGACGATGCAGAGTTTGAGATGATGTCCCGCGCGAAATCAAGACGACGATCACCTGCCCGTTCAACGAGATCCGGTGGCAGCAATCGTGGCGTAGGCGGCAAAATCAGAGTCAAGTGTCATGCCGCCGACATACGTTACGTCTTCGTCACACCGGACATGACCATACGTGAATTCTGGCAGTCAATCAGGGAGAAATTTGGCGTAAGGAACAACTTCAAGGTTGAGATCAAGGATGAAGGCGACATGATCACCATGGCGGATCAAGACGATCTAGACATGGCTGTCCAGACAGCCAGAGAACTGGCGAGAAAGGAAGGTAGCGATATGCCGAAGATGGAGGTGAGTCATTTTTTACTATCTCATGATCTCACAGCACAAGTACTAACATCACCTGCAGGTTTGGGTTCGAGAAGTATAGACCAGAGATACCCTAGCATCATGCATTGTCACGATTTCCATTTGACATTTATTGTTATCTGCACAGGTTGGATTTCCGAAAAACAGGCCATGCCTTTAGGCTTGGTTCTTTTATGATAGTCTACGCAGCAACAAGTTGCCGTAATTCAGCGAGCATACTACATTCGTCGCTTTGTTCCTTTTCACACATACTACTTCACAGCCGGACTGTTGATCCGCAATAGAACCCCCTTTTCCACAGCGATGATCGTGGCCCGCTTTACGGCTTGCACGTAGGAGGGAAAGTAATCTTTGAATCCATTATACACACAAGAACCTTTGTTTTCAGTTTAGCAATATTCTCAAGGCTCTTCCACGATAGGTGATGCATACGATGATGGTGTTTGTGAACTCAATACTAATACCAAGACCGCTATCGCCAGCCATATATATCGTCACGCATGCGAAAGACGGCAACTGCATTGAGTTGGCCTTGTCAACGCCACCAGCGCTTCCAACATCAAGACTACGCAGCCACAATTGATACCATCCAGCCCTGCCCGCAGAAATCGTGACGCCCACATACTACAAATTATGAACTCACCGTGCCTCATAAACACATACCCAACAAACCCCCCCACCCCAACCATTGGCACATCATCTCTCAACATTTCACTCCTTACGCCTCACCGCTGCGCCGTGGAAACGCAGCCTCTGCAGTCAGCAGAACCAACACGGCACGGGGGACAACGGAGGCGCAAAACACATGTACACCATTCGACTAAAAGTCCCCGGTGCGGGAGGGAGGGGGAGAATGGGCGAGGGGGCAGGGTGGGAAACTTGGCTATTGCTGGTGGGTAGGTGCATGCATGTTGCATGTGTGGCGCGCCACGTGCGAGCAGGGAGAAATCGTGCGAGGAAGACTTTAGCATGCTATGGGTTTTCTTTTTTGTGAAGACCCTTGTATCCTCGTTACATCCTCTCTACCACATACGGCGCGCAGCACACACACAGTAGACAAGCATAGTTCCCAGCGCACATACCTACGCTCCAGGCAATCCTCACAAGCACTCTCATATCAACTGACAAACACATGTTATCAGCGTGACATTTCCACACCCTCGCTCAAGATGCAAGATCCTTTGTATCAAGAGTTCTGGGCGGATAGATTGGGCATTGTGGGGCTAAGATTGGACGGATGGGGTAAGGGGGAGAAGGCAAGGGTGGGTTCTTTCACTGTGTGTGATATGTACCTGTACCTATATGACAATGGTAATGTGCAAGATGGAAGGATAGCGTGTGGGCAAGACAGAACAAGCATCTGTGACGTGCGAGACGGAGCTTGGCGGGGCTTATACAATAGGTTTGTGGCGCGGGTGTGTGGTTTGGAAGAGGGAGGGTGAGGCGGGTTGTGTTTCAGAAGCGGGGTGGGCATGGGGTTTATGCGGTGTGTGAGACTTCCTTTTCGAGTGGGGGGAATGGGGATGGGATGGGAGCAAGTTGTGTGGCGTGTGTTATGGTGTGGTGTCTTGTGTTCATGAATCGTTTTGTATACAATTGTTGTACAGGGATGAGTGGTGACCAAATGGGGTCATTTATGGCCTGCCTTATCCATGAGGGTGACCGGGTAAAAACCTCTCCGCATTGTGAATTACACTTTTTCTCTTCTTTGAAAAGAAACCCGTTTAGCAGTTCCTCAGTCCATGTCGATATTTGTTCCTCTTTCCCTCCCCCAACGCCTCAGTGCATTTCTCCATCCATCATCTCGTCTCGTCTCGTCGTCTCGTCTAAGCAGGCAACAGAATCTCAGCCCAGCTGCTGTGTAGGAATGTGACCCCAATCTGCAAAACACAGGTTAGCAAAATGTCCATAGGAAACTATATCTTCACCCGTCTTGACACGGCGATATGGTGTGAGTTGCTACACCTCCACCTTGCGCCTCGAGTCTTCCTCCGCATCATCCAGAGTATCTTACAGCAAACAAGCCAATCGCACCAACGACGCTTCTGTTCTCCGCGCTTGTCAATGCCCGCAGTGTGGACTGTGCAAAGTTGGGCTCTTTGAGCGTGCGGCCTTTGCCTTGGATGTGCTTTGGTGGCATCGTTGCAGTGCGGGATTGTTATCGGGAGTACTGAGTTATCTGTTTAGCGACTTCGATCGGCGATTCAGAGGGTTATGGCAGCGTACGTTTGGGAGGATCGGTTGTGGAGGGGAGTTGGTGGTGCGGAGGTCCGATCGATTGCGGTTCGCGAAACTTTTGGTGAGGGTTCAGCACAAGCGTCATTGGTGACCAGGTTTTGCTTATGTAAGTGGACTTGTGGGACAGACATGATATTGAAGTTGGAAATATAATGTGAGGGTATTCACTAGATTGTGCGCACTTATTGTGACTAAAGGCTATATACGTAGATTTTCAATGCGATACATGGTGATTTAGACATTCATTGTGGGCATTTTTCCTCAGTACCCCAATGCTCTTTGACCCAGTCTGTCATGATGTCTGTGAAACTGCGCCCATTGGCGAAAGCCTCTGTGTCTTCCAGCGAGTACTTCTGCCCTGTATACTCCAGTGCGAGCAAAACCCACCTCTCTAGGAATGCGTTGTACATTACATCCACCTTCTCGGGTTCATGGTCGTCGGATGCCTTGAACCCAACAGTCGACTGAATGGCATTCGGCACTTGGTAGAATTGAATCCTCTCATGCACCGTGTCGTCGCCATCTTCTCCAGCATCGTCTATGGTTGTGTAACCAGGGAATGGCTCGGGACCGTCGTTACTTGTTAAAACTGTCTGATCCCGGGGAGACTGGGCCAAGTTGTCGTGCTGCGAGAACATCATGGGACGGAATCGTGCTGCTAGTACATCTGGCGGCTGCAAGAAGGCATTGTTGTCCATCATTTCCAGCATGATGGGTCCTTCGTTATTCAGGAGTTTGATGACCTGGCTGGCCGCTTGGTATGGTACGTCTTTAATGTAGCGAAGAGCACTGGTAAATGGCGATACCAGGAACTTTGTATCCTTAGTGAAAGTACCTTTGAAGATATCAAATCGAATCGCGCCTGTATTGATGAGGACTAAGGCTTTCTTGTTCTCCTTTTCATGTCTCTCCGCTTTTCCAACTGACTGTGGGAGTAATTGCTCTTCGATCCAGGTAAAGATGCTCTCATTGTGTGGGTATGGTCGCCGATTGACCCAGAGATTCTGAGGCGCACATCCGTACTTCTCGCCAAGACCAAGAGACTTCCTGGCATCTCCGATTGCATGAGAAACCTTTTCGCCGTGTTTGGTTGAAAAAGAGGTTTCATTCTTTGCGCTGTGATGACGGAGCGAGAACAGATTATTGTCAATGTAGCGACGTGAGAAGGTGAGTCCAGCCTTCGCCGCCACAGGGTTGCGACCTTCTGTGCCACCAGTATTAAGCCCATCAATTGACATGAAACCCAATGTCTCCATGTAGCGACCACTCTCCAGAGCCACAGACTTGCTGTCAAAGATCTTGAAGTCTCGAATATGCGAATGCCCTCCGAAGAATTGTATTGGTATGTCCCACCGAGCAGATCGAATCGTAGAGTACACAGCTTTGTACTCGTCGGAGCGGATATCCACGTGGCCAAACACGATGATCAGATCCAGATCTTGATCTTTGATGGCCTCTGTAAACCAATCCTCCTTGACAGTATCTTCGACTCGCTGTATCACTGTATTATTCGCATTGGCTGTGAAATCAAAGATGAATCCAAAGGCCAAGATGCGAATTCCTTGGTTCTTTGTAGTAAACTTTTTGAAACGAGGGGCCAGTGCTTCCAGCTTTCCAGTCTTGGGGTTGTAGATGTCCAGATTAGAAGCTAGATAGCTTCCCTTGAAATCGGGAACCGTGTGATAGAACTCTCCTTCGGCCGTATCGGCTTTGTACAACTCATGGTTGCCAGAGCTGATCAGATCAATATGTTGCTCTTTCGCAATCTCATATGTGAATTTACCGCGCGGCTTGGAGGAGTCATAAATAGCATTTCCCTCTACGCGATCTCCCGTGTCGATGAGCAAGAGATCTGAGCCATCTGCATCTGCCTTGTCGTGCAGGTGCTTAGCAAAAGAGACATAGTCTCCCCAGTCAGCCGAAAATGATGATCTGCAAGGTGTCAGTTTGTGTCTCGTGTGGAGATGGGCCAGCTGCATAGAACACGTTTCTCTGATGGGGCTAGCGGTCTAACAAGGCTTTGTTGATGTGTAGTTGCTATGTGCACCACAATACGACAACAGCAGAGAAGGGCAGATGTCAGTCGCATCGTATAGAACTTACTCTTGCAAATGCCCGCCCCACCAGCCGTGCACATCTGTTGTATGCAGAAAGTTCAGCTGGGCCCAAGGTAATCCACGCAGGGGAGCAGCTTTGGGGGGAGGAGCTTCTGGTTGCACGCAGGAAACTCCTTGAAGAAGAACAACAACAACAACAACAAAGAGAACAAGAGAGGGGCCAGGCATGGTGAATGGGCGATGCTAGACGATGCTGTGCCGTGTTGTTCCACAGAGTCCGGATCTCCCTGTGTCTCTCTAAGCGACCATTCAGGTACTACTAACACGGTAACAAGATGGAATGCTGCCTCATGTGCATAGGCAACCAGCGTTTGTATGTTGCAGGCGTTGATGTTGATGTAAAGACTGTCAAAGCGATGCAGAAATGGCTGGAGCGGGAGAGGAGAAGCAGCTGGGGGGATGCTGGTTAGTTATATCAAAGAGAACATGGCCGATGAGGCGGTGACGTCCGTCTCGGTGAAAGGGTTGGTGGCCTGCCAGCGTGATGTTGACAGGGATGTTGACGTTCCCAGACCTTACCGGTATCCGACCCATATTTAACTTAGGGCTTAGTAGCGTCAACATTTTTGAGCCAAAACACCCCAACCACCTGCGCAGCTGAGCATCCAACAAACATCCTCAACTGGCCTCTTGCACGCCTACTTTATTCACTTCGAGTCTGCATATCATGGCTCGAGCTGCAGGATCCCGCGCCGCAAGCGCCAAGCCTGCGGAGTCGAAAGACAGTAACGAGGTCAAAGTCAATGGCACCGGTACGTCACAGCTATCCAAAGCTGTCCAGCCAAAGCTAAAGCGAGCGCCAGCTGCACGACGAGGCGCAAAGAAGGCCGAAGACGCGTCTGCGACCAACGGCATCTCAGAAGAGCCTGAGCAGACGGAAGAGGCTGAAGAGCAGCCCAAGAAGAGTAGAGTCAACGCGTCCGAAGAATTGTCATGCGATACTAAGACAACAACAGTCACTGCACGAGGAGGCCGCGCAAAGAAGGCAGACGCACCCGCCTCCGCCCCCGCTGCGCCAGCCAAAGCGACCAAGCGCAAGAAGGATGAAGAGAGCGAGGCAGAGTCTGAGGAAGAACAAGTCGAAGAGAAGGCGCCGGCAGTGAAGAAGGCCAAGGTCGAGCAACCGAAGGCTGCGCCAAAGGCTCCAAAGGCCACCAAAGTCGCACAGGAGCCTGCGAAACCATTGCCCAAGGGACCGCGACGCACAAAGAAGGGCAAGACAGAAATCAATGCGATTCGCTATACAGAACCACTCAAGGTCTTTGTCTTCGGCGAGGGCAGTTCTGGGGAGCTTGGCCTCGGCGCAACCAAAAAGGCCATTGACGTCAAGCGCCCACGTTACAATGAGCCTCTCTCCAACCTGAACGTCGTCAGGGTCGCCGCAGGTGGTATGCACGTGGTTGCGCTGACCAAGGATAATAAGATCTTGACATGGGGCGTCAACGACAACGGCGCATTAGGACGCGACACGTCTAATGCCGATGTCAAGATGCGCGATCTCGACGCTGACGACTCCGATTCAGACTCTGAGGATGAATCTGGTGGTTTGAACGATCTTGAATCAACCCCTACAGCCGTGTCGGACGAGCACTTCCCAGAAGACACAGTTTTTGTGGATATTGCTGCTGGAGACAGCTGTTCCTTTGCACTGACGACAGAGGGTGCAGTCTACGGTTGGGGAACGTTCCGCAAAAATGAAGGTATTCTTGGTTTCGAGCGCGGCAACCACACTGCCAGGTTCCCAGTGTACATTGAGAGTATGAAGAAGGTCACCCAAATTGCTTGCGGTACCAACCACGTCTACGCACTGGACAAAGATCAACGCGTCTATGCCTGGGGTAATGGACAACAGAACCAGCTTGGTCGCCGCGTCACAGAGCGCTCCCTCCCCGAGGCTCTCCCACCGAACCGCATTGGTTCCTCGATGCCACTGTCAAGCGCCACAGCCAGAAGATTGTTTCCATCGCATCAGGTGATTACCATGGTCTTGCCATTGCAGAAGATGGACACATCTGGGCATGGGGAGCCAACAATTATTGCGAGACAGGCTTTCCCGATAACGCTGGCGCGGATGATGCCAGTCTTCTCACACCACGCATCATCCATAGCCTAGAGGGCAAGGACGTCGCATCTCTCGCCGGTGGCGCGCATCACAACATCGCCATCACCAAGGACGGCCAAGTGCTCGTATGGGGTCGTTGTGATGGTTCACAAACCGGCATTCCTGCCGACGTGCTCGCTGCTGAGGAGGATCCCGATAAGGTTCTCAAGAATAATGGCAAGCCCAAGATCTTGGTTGAGCCTACGCCGATCCCTAACCTCAAGGACATTGTTGCTGGCTCATGTGGGCCTGACCACACCATTGTCATTGACAAGAACGGCAAGGCCTATGCATGGGGATTCTCTGCAAATTATCAAACCGGCCTGGGCACGGATGACGATGTCGATGTTCCCACCTTGATCGACAACACTGCCACACGGGACGAGAAGCTCACCTGGGTGGGCTGCGGTGGTCAATACAGTATCCTCGCTAGCAAAAAGTAGATTGCTCCACGGCATCTGCTCCGCTTTAGCTTGCACCATTTTCCATCTTTCTGTCTCCTCATTTCTCTCATGCCAATTGCGGGCCACCCACCCCCTTGTCTCCAGATTTTGGCATACATGTACGGGCGTTACCAGGATTGCAATGCATTGCTTGTTCTTTTTTATCCTCTCCCTCTCTCTCTCTTTGTCTGTTTTTCTGCATAGCGGTCTGCCCATCCTCTCCGTTTTTCACTACATTCAGATTTGAATGCCATCTAATCTCTCATGATCTGGCTATGGCACGGCTTGGGTTCCTCGACGGGCGATGATGTTATGCTCGTTTCGCTACTAGAGGGCTGGATTGGCGACTGGGCGGTTGGAGTTCAAGCGCCATGGCTAGGGAAAAGATCATGTCTTGTAATAGTACAATGCTATGCAATTATCGTCCTGTTGTGAACCGAAATCCTCTGACTATAATCGTGCTCATGAAGAGTACGTGTGGACTTGGGTCTCTATTGGTGCTGATATGATAGGGTCAGGTGTGTACAAGCAGGGAACTGTGTGGTAACTTTGAATAGCATTCTATTGTTTTCTTAGAGTCTTGAGTTGATCGATGTTGTTGAAGCACCAAGAAACAGAAAACATGGAGTAACCTCCAGCCCAGGAAAGAAGAACGCCTCAGAAATGCCCTACTAAACTCCCAAGTCACCCATTTTCACTTCGTCCCGGTCTTAATCAACTAGCGACCTCCCCTCGCAGCTCTCGCCTGTTCCCGTTCACTCGCGTTATATCTGTAGTCATTTCGTTAGCCCCTATCCGGGACATACTCGTTCAGCACAAGGGAAGGAAGAAACTCGACACGCCTCAGGGCCGCTTCTCTGCAGCCCTACGACGCTGATGTTCCTTCCGTTGTTCTTGCCTATCTGCGGCGGGGACGTACTTGAGGAGCTTTTCGATGAGATCGACGTGGGTGAGGACCATGCGGCGGCAGCAGTAGCGTTGGAGACCGACGGCATCGAGGGCGTCACTAGCAGGGGCGAAGGGTTAGAGGGTTCGGGGATGTAGAGAGGAGCATATCGGTTGGTTGGAGGCGTAGGGCGAGGGTTTGCGGAGCGTGCGACTAGAGGGAAAGGGTAGAAGAGGGAGACTCACCCATCGGACATTTGCTGCTCGGTAATGAGGCCAATGTAGCGTTCCCAAAGGTCGCCGGTGACCTGGATGGGGGGTTAGTTATGCGCAGCGCGATCAGAGAATGGACAAAGAATGGTACCTTGCCGCAGGAGAAGCAGCGGATGGGGATGATCATTTTGGTGGTAGTGTTGAGCGTTTGTATTGTGCAAGTATAGTTCCGCGATTTGCAATGGGCTCAGACGCGGTGCAAGAAGGGTGAGTAGGCGCAAAGTGAAGTTCGATGTTTGTTTGATGTTGAAGAGTGCGACTTGGTCAAAGAAAGATGCGGACATTACGCGCTAACGTTAAAGTGATTGGTGGTCACTGCAGGCGGTGGAAAAAAGCTTGGGCCTGTTGCTCCATCAAAAAAGATTTCGAGACGCAACAATCTCAACTCTCGGATCTTGAATACTGGAATCTTGAACAGTCGCGCATCCACACCCTCTCGCATATATTTGCGCCAGGAAGATTACGGCAGGGTAGTCAATATGGTGGACGCGACTCCTCAATTAAAGAGGAAAAACGAGGAGGCGACGCCGCAGCGCAAGTCCAAGAAGCAGAGGAAGAGCGAGGCGGCTAGCATTCAAGAAGACGCGGCGACGCCTGCAGCTACTTCGACACCGAAATCAAAGACGAATTCCACGCCTAGATACAAGTCAAAAGATCAATCGAAAGCAACTGCAGAGACTGAAAAGGCGACGAAGCATGAGATTCTCGTAAATGAATCCACCACTGCGAAACGTCCAACCAAGGCTGCAAAGGACACGGAAAATATCGATGCACAGGCCCACGCAACCGAGGCTCGCAGCAAGTCGAGTCAGAAGAAGAGCAAAAAGGAACAAAAGAACGACACGGCGATAAAAGGCGAGGGCCAGGATGCTGCAGAAGACAAGGCGGTGGCAGTGATGGAGCCATTGACACAGGCACAGGTGGAGAAGGCGCTCAAGAAGAGGGATTACAAGGAACCCAAGAAGCAGAAGAACAAGAGTGATTCCAAATGGGCAGTTTCGCCACTACAGGGTGGCTGGTTCCTTCCCACTGACCCCATCTTCTCTGTCGACGAGAAGTACCTCATCCTCGCCGATCTCAACTCGCTCCAGATATATTCCACCGAAACGTCGCTCCTTGCAAATGTGCTTCCTATTGGCGGCAAGGGAGTACTCACGGCCTATGCGCTCTCCACCACGAAGTCGAACCTCGTATATGTCGCCGACTCCCATGGTCTGATCACCCTGTGGGATTGGGTAAATGGAACCAAGGTTGGACGCTGGGATATCGGAGCCCCTGTGCGGAATATGACTGTTGTCACCAAACCCGACTCTGATGAAGACCTTGTCTTCTGTCACGAGACGGGCAACAACAGCCAGGTTATCAACTGCCACGCGCTCCGCACAAAGTCTCAAGCTTCCAAAACAGAGTTGAAGCGCGTGCTGAAGACCAGCTCATCTATACGTGGCATTCAGGTTTTGCTACAAGGCAGGTACATTGTTCTGAACACGAGTGATTCGATCATGGTTGGGAAGCGCCTAAAGCCTACGCATACGGCTGTGCAGGACTTTGAATACATCTGGCGCGAGTTTAAGTTCTCAAAGCGTGTCACCACATTCAGTGCTTATCACCGTGAACGAGAGACTAGCAAAGGAAAGAAGCCTGTGGTAGACCAAAGGGATGTGCTCGACTTCGCGGTTGGAGAGGAAACCGGTGTCGTTTTCCTCTTTGAAGACATTCTGGCTACCTTTGCTGCTATTGAAGGCGCACAGAAGGGCAAGAAGGAAAAGTTTGATAGTGCGGAGAGTCTGAGACCTAAGCGGTTCCACTGGCACAGAGATGCTGTGGGTGCCGTGAAGTGGTCAATAGATGGTACGCATATGGTACGACAATGGTCCAGCATAATACTGACGCATTGTAGGCAACTACTTCATCTCCGGTGGCCAAGAGACTGTACTGACTATCTGGCAACTTGCTACGGGACGAGCACAACATCTTCCCCATCTATCTGCAGCCATCGAGAATGTAGTGGTTTCCCCGTCAGGCACCTCGTACGCCTTATCGCTTGCGAACAACTCGGTCATTGTTCTCTCCACAACCGAACTAGAAGCCAAGACGAACATTGTTGGCGTCCAGTCCCGACGTATAGACACTCAGCAACAGTCAAAAGACCCGAACGGAAACAAGACCAACCTTGACATATTCCATCATGTGCCCATGGCTGTCAATCCAGCATCACCGGATGAACTCCTTCTCACCGTACCCTCATCGCAACCACGACACAAGAATGAGGGTCTTCGGCCTGAACCATATCTACAAACTTTCGACCTTGCTAACCACCGTGCGAAGTCTAGACAGGCCTTGACACGCAACAACGCAACAGAGCCGAACGTGGCACCAGAAGGTGGCAAGATCAAGGAACCTAGCGCGAAGCTTCTTCAGGTTAGTCACGATGGCGAGTGGCTTGCAACAGTCGATGAGTGGGTGCCACCCGCGTCTGATACTGGCTTCCTGAATGAAGGTATCCCTGAATTCAACGAAGAAGAGCGCCTGAACCGCCGCGAGGTATATCTCAAGTTCTGGCGACGCGATGAAGCACATGATCAGTGGAAGTTGGCAGCGCGGATCGATGCCCCACACTTCTTCGAGGACGTGTGTGGTAATGGCAAGGTCTTCGATCTTGTTGCTGATCCCAATGGAGCTGGGTTTGCGACGGTTGGAGAAGACCATGTCCTCAAGATTTGGAGACCGAAGACGAGACTTCGCGATGGAGTAGTTGTTCGTGGAGCCGATGAAGAGGGATTGGTTACCTGGACCTTGGAGCGCTCCATTCCGATTAGCGATAAAGTCGATGTGCTTGAGGGCTCGCAACAGTCTCTTCCGCCACGGACTTCGCGGCTAGCATTCTCCACGGATGGCTCTGTCCTCGCCGTCGCCATCTCATGGGCATCAGAGTCTGATGTAGGAGTTACACACCTAATCGACACACATTCCGCAACCATCCGACGCTCCATGACCGAGGTTGATGTCACGGCACTGTCTAATCTCGGTTTCGTCGGCCAACACCTCGTCTTCGTCGCTGAATCTCTCACCGTGTGGGACATGGTTCACGACCAACTCGTCTACAGCGCCTCTCTCCACACATCTGGATTGGACCGCATAGAGCGCATCCCCTTGATCCGCTTCGCTGTCAACCACGACGACAACACCTTCGCCATTGCCCTCCCACACTTTGAAAAGAACACGTCTTCCAGTTCCAAACCAAAGAAACCCAGCTCCACTCTGACAATCTACGATCCCGATCACACATCCCCACTCTGGTCCAGCACATCCCCCTCCATCACGCTCGCCCTCGCAGCCCGAAAGGGCGAAAGCGGATTCATCGCCCTTGACTCGGCCTCGTGCATCAGAGCCATCACTCCCCGCGCCACAGCACTACAACTGCCTACACCACCGCCCGAGGAAAGTGACGGGCTACGCGAGGCTTATACGCTTAGGGATGGGGGGGAGGAGCAGGAAATGCAGGAGGCTGGCATCGGATCCGTTGATGTGGCGGAGGATCTTACGCAGGATCTAAGCGAGGACAAGGCGGTGCTGAATGCGCAGCTGTTGCAGGATGCGCTGGATGATGGACAGGTGTTGCCGCCACCACAGGTGCTGTTTGGTCGGGTTTTGGCGCTTGTGGGTGGAGTGGGGAGTGGATGTGTGTAAGAAGGGGGATTTGGTTATGAAGGTATAGGATGTGAGAAAATGTCATGTAATTTTGGTATCATGATGATGTGTGTGTGTGTGTGTGTGTGTGCGTGCGCGAGGTTGTTGTAGTAGCTGCACTGCCAACGCTCGACGCTCAAGTTTTTATTTTTTCACTGATAAAAATGGCATCGTGGTGTGTACCTCATGTGAGGAATACCATATGGCAGACTTGTAACTCGACTGCCACATGGCCAAATCCACGCCTTGGCTCTGCACTCTCCCCGGGCCCTCGAAGCCCCCCTTTCTGGGGCCCAAGCCAGGCTGCCCACTCCCAATCTAAAGAAGCATGGTTTGATGATTTGCGTGCAGGACAATGGAGGATGAAGATGAAAATGAGGTTGACATCGTAACTTCACAGTACGGGAAACCGCCGTCTTGTTTTTTTTTGCAGAGTTTTAGTTCAAAAGCCTGAATTCAGTCGAGACTTTGGTTTGAGTTTGCAGAGCGGGATTAGTGTGGAAGGTTTGGATGGGGGATGGGGTTGGATTGGATTGGGTTTGGAGCGTGGGGGGGGGGGGGATGGTGAGGAGGTGTTCATGTGCAGTAGAGTAGAGTAAAGACTGGTCAGGTACAGGACTGAACCCCCCTTTTCGCTTAGCAACCGTGTCTTCTAGTCGGGGGACGCATGCGGCGGTTCGCAGCGTGTGAGGGCTCACGTGATGTTTGGCTGTGGATAGGTGCACATGGGTTTTGTTGTGTGTGTGGACTGGATTTGCAGTGTTTAAGTGTACCGGTACTGCGCAGTACCCTATCCTTTACAAGACTGTCACGGGAGGGAGAAATGGGTGGTCTAGAACCCATGCGTGGGATTTCTTTGTCAGCGCACAGGCTGAAACGTTGCCCGTTTGGGTACTATTATTCGTGAATGGCTGGGTGTTGCAACGGTTGGACCGCGGAGTGAGTATGACGTTTTGTTTCTTGTTGGAGGTGGGGGGTGGAGGTGTTGCTGACGAGAGTCAACGGTCAGGCTGTTGCTATCAGCCTTGAGGATGAAGTGCTTGCCTGAGCTCGCTGGCGTTTGGTGGCTGTTGCAACGCGTGTGCGACGGGAGGCCGTACGGTACTGAAGCCATGCGCGTGTCGTCGTAACTCGCAAGTCACACTGTGGCTGTTCAGTCTGCTTAGCGCCTTGTCCTGCCCCCGTCGCGTAGTAGCACGAGGTCGACTCATTGTTTGTCAGAGTGGGCGGATGCGGAGACGAGTGACAGATCCGTACCTAGCTGACAGGAGAATATGGCCATCCGCAGCTAACGAGCCTGTAGACCGATGGTGGATCGGCGTTGGCGATGCTGAGCTGTACGGCTCGCACAGCTTCAGCGGTGAAAAAGCGGCCGGTGGGTGATGGGTAACGGAACAGATGGCCTCATTGGCGGGCGGGCGCAGTCCTCTTTTTGGTTCCGCTCACGTTGTGCGAGTATGGCCGAATGTAGATATAAGGGAGAAGCTGAGCAAGGCATGGCGAGATGAGTTACTGCTTTGGGATAGAGTTGGCGCCTTTTGCGCCTGAGAGATGCCTGGCAGAAGAGAAGCAGTACATGGTGGGAAGGGCGGAGACGGGTGTGACGAGAGATCCGCGTCCAGCATCCCATGCTCCATCCCGCTTTTGCATGCTAGCCTGTGAGATGCAAAACTCGACTGTCTGGTTACTCTACAGTGTATAGGTGACATGTACCCTAGTATATTGGGGGACAGTCCAAAAAGTGACAAGTCACTCGAAGCACGGAAATAAGGAATGCACCGCCCAAAGCATGAGTGTGACTCAGTCATCATGATGGATGAGTGATGAGTGGTTCATGCAGGTGCTCTCTCCATTGACCAAGGTTTTGCTAGGTAGTTTGCTAGTCGTCGTGGTGGTGGTGAGTACTCTAGATGTCTCTAGAGTCGAACCCGGGCTTTACTCAGCATTATTCCTTTGGTGCCGAGTAAGCCAAATGACTCCCACCAATCAAAGTCCAACACCAGGCGAGGAAGAGGGTCGAGTTGGTAAGCCAAAGAGTCCAAAAACCCCCCCATCCATGACGAAAGCGATGACATTGGGCGAGATCTCGGTTGATCTCGGTTGATCTCGGTTGATCTCGTTGCACGTCTGGGCAGAAAGAGGACCTACATCGCCGGGTTCTAGAAAGTC